TGTGATAAATACTGCTTCTTAGAAAAGTCATGAACTGCTGCGGCTGCTGCAAATACAAACATTCACTGATCCTATAAGTTCATAAAAAGGAGAGATGAGAGGGGATGCATGTTTTATGAGCTCAGATGTATTTATTCTTATTGGAAAAACATTACCTCGAATGTCCCACTCTATTTAATTTTTCTAATCATCACCTTTTATATTGAAATAAGTTTTGATGATATCTCACAGTATGCCGATGTCTTTTCTTTGACTCAATGTAGTGCCTGTTCGAAACCTGCCTGTTACGAATGGACTGTTTACTCTGAAAAAGTAATGAGGATGAGTATTTGAAAAATGCAAAGTAAAGACAGACTGCAGGACTCAGTCCACAGAATCCTGAAGCCGTGCCTCCGCTGCGGCACAAAGTTCTGTGCTGTTCCCGTTATCATGATGATCTGCTCTCATGATCGACAACGTCACTTGCGTTGATGAGTTTCAACCACTACTGCTACAGTCATCCGTTGATTTAAATCTTATTTATATTGAATGTATAGTGCGTCCAAATTCCACATTGCACTTCCTTGGTCTTGAGATATGCATTGCACATGCAGATAGACTGACAATAACTACATAGACGAGAGTTAATTTTCCGATGGATTTAAATGTTTTAAACCAGCAGAAGTGACGGGAAGAAATTTGAATAATCTGTATTTATTATTATCCTACATCAGGGTAATAAAATAAATCTAACACTGACATTGAACATTCAGAGAGAGGTTTGTGAACTGACAATCACATCATGCACTTAAAACAAAATGAAAATGAAATGAAAGACTAAGGCCACATTAAAAAAAGAAAGAATTATGGATGTGAAATTACTTTTCATAAATTTAATTGCTTAAACACATGTGCGCGTACATTAGTGGAACTCAGATACAGATGAGAAATTATACAGTCTCTGAAGCAGCCATGCAATTACAAGGCTTCAGATGGATTGGCAGTGACCAATCAAATTGCCTGATTATCTGGGGCAGAATGGTGGTTTTTCAAACAGGGGGTGGGGGGTGATGGCAAAATTGTGCTGGTACAGAGTGTGTGTGTGTGTGTGTGTGTGTGTGTAAATCTGTGTGTATGTTCAAATGTTATTAACTGTACTTTTTCTACCTCTATCTTTGTTCCCTGTTGGATTCAATATTAACTGTAATGCAAGGTGTTGGCTTCAGGGCTGGTTTCTAAAAGCAGTTTAAAACAAGTAAAGCCGTTTTGCTACTAACTGATTTAACATCTTTTCTGACTTTGGATCTTGTTGCATTTGATTTACACACATTCATAACTCACTTTTATGAAGTGGACTTGAAGCAAGACTTCCTCAACAAAATAAGATTTGTACTTTAAAACTTGAATTAGGGCAGTGAGTGTAAACACTAGTGAGATTTTGCAACAGGCTCATGACCCTCTGGGTTTTTGCTACCTTCAAAATATTGTAACGTAAAGTGTGACAGGCAGCTGTGTTAGGGTTGAAGACATACTTGGTCAAGCCAATGTGCTTTTTTTTTGTTCCAAGGTCAGCGAAATAATCTTAACGAATTCATCTTAACCTGAGGCAGAGGCTGCTCATTGCCGCAGTAGACCAGGTACTCCACCATAGATGTGGGGTTAATCATGGGCCTTGTCTCTGCTGCTGTATGAGGATGGATATCCCTACAAGCTCTGCTGAAAGCAAATGGGCTTCTGGGAGAGCTTGTTCTATGTGTGTGTGTGTGTGTGTGTGTGTGTGTGTGTGCATTTCACATTTCCATTGAGGTGTTTATTTTTGTATAAATATATTTCAGGATCATTTTTGGCTAAAACATTTTTAATTACATAGACAAAACCAAATGTCAGTTAAGCTCCTTTTCCACAGGTCAAAAAAATCACTAACACCCACTAACTTCGGTCTTTTGTCTTCGATGGGACTGGATACCATCCAGTTAGCTGTTATGTCTCCTTAATGACTCCGCAGACACAGGATTTTATGAGCTCCATCCCCAATGATGGAAACAAGACACGCAGGTAAACACGTTAATTCTGCAAGATATCTGTGTGGATGCACTTTTGCAAACATCCACCCAACCAGTCCAGAGTTTAAACTACGAGAAACATCCCACTGCTCTGCTCTAACAAAGATGATCACACTTTAGCCCACAGTACCGAGCGATGACGAAATCAATGCAATTTTCATGGAGTGAGGTGGCCTGGATATGCTGCACCCATCTAAGTCCTCGCCTCTGATGCATTAGGCTGTACTGTTCGGCTCCTCTCCCCCCCCCCCCCCCCCCCCGAAGACAGTGATGGATCAGATTCATTTCAATGGTGGCCTCCAGTGCTCACTCCCATTCGGCTGGGTGACAGTGGCAAACTGAGGCTGGCTCCCCACAAATCTGCCTGCTGCCTGGTCAACACAGCAGGGCAGGGGGAGGAGAGGGGGGGTGGATGTAGCTGCCGGGAGCTGGCGTCGACACTTAACTCCTGTTTTCTTATTTGAGGTTTACAACTGACCTCAAATTCTTACAATCTTATCTTTTCTGGACTTTTAGTTGCTTTTCTATTCTCACTCTCACCGTCTCAACACTTCTTGAGGACACTGCAGCTTAAGTAATGTATGATTGCCTGTAATGGGACTTTAATGGATGAAATCCAAAATGCACTATTACAGCTCCCTTCTCCCTTTGTTTCACATACCCTCCATCTTTCTCTGCAACATTATCAATATGCCGTCTGATTTTGAAATAAATGTCACGTTATATACAAACCTGTCAGAATTTCTCTCTAAATCGTCTCTTCAAATAGATCAAAAATGCAATAAACTTTAATGTAAAAGTGTCATTCTTCATCCGTCTACCTACAGAGTGATAACGCAATGATGAAAAATATATATTTTCAGTGTCTCTTGAGATGTGTTTGTCTGTGACCCCAGCTGTCTGCTCAGTGTCAGTCTGTCTACCTGTCTGCCTACTGGTGAGGGATTAATGAGGACAGGAGAGTGACTGGACCCAAGTGATAGGACTCACTGAACCTCGGGGCTAAACTTTCCCCGGAGGGACATGTATCCTCTCCCCCTAGTGTGGACATCGGGAAGGAGTGGAAAGAGTGGGGAGAAGGGATAAAGGCATAGTGGGGGGAAAAAAAAGATGAGGGCCTGCGTTGGAGGGACGAGTGGCTTTAAGCACCACTGAGACAACAAAATATAATCCAGGAAGTCTGATTTATGGAAAAGAATTTCATGGATTTGAAGGATTATAGGATGCCACAACACCGCACAGTGATTTATAATACCAGAGCAGTCAAATCCTATAAAAGTGAAGGATTTTACAGCGCCAATTATTTCATGTTGCGCCGAGATGATCTTAAGGTAAACATTAAACATGACAATACAAGGGAATCTAACTGTGAGTTGGATGTTACAGCTGAAGTTTCACTTTTATGAGGGTTTTGTGTGTTTGTTTTTGTTTCCCTGGTTCATGGCCATGAAAATAAAATGACAGACCTGAAAATGAGGGCTTGGCTGTATGGATTAAAGTTAACAGCGAACACAGAAGTGAGAACAATACTTTTTTGGGAGTTTTAGCAAGTTATGAGTAATATTTCTTTCTCAAATATATATTTCCCTGGTACAGTTGTTATTGCACTGTATGTACGTACAAAAACAGAACTTAACATCAGCTAATATACAAATGATGCTAATTTTTTTTACCAATTGAATTTTAACTAGTATTTTGTAACACTAGGAAAATCATAATTAATAATGAATAATAATAAAATGGTTAGATTATTTGTAGAGCACTTTTTTGATAAGGTAACAAAGTGCTTCATGGGGGATAAAACAACAATAAAATAAATAAAGATAAAAACTGAAAAAAGTTGTTTTTGAAAGACAAATTATGAGAGCAGCCCAGAAGCTGTACAACGTCAATTTGAGTGATACCTGTGGAAATTCCACCTCAGTCCCTGTTGTGTTTATCCCAAGTTCTGCCTGAATGTGGGGCACAACAAGTTGAGGGGAAAGGAGGTGAAGATTAACATTGAAACAAGAAGAAAAACAAGCTGACGGGGCACCAGGGGGAACGATGCGGTGAAGAAGAGAGAGACACGGCGCTCGGAGGATGAGGGTTAGCGGGGAGGGTGAAGGGCAGAGTGGGAGGACGGGGGCTCAGCGTGGTGCTCCACACTGACACACAGCCACAGGACACACGCTCCAATTAGAGTCACAGCAACACTAATCAAACCTGATCTACAACCTCTGGCTGTAGGCTGACTGGACGTGTGTTGAAGTATTTACACTTGAATCCACAGTCCTGAAATACAGTCACACTGCACTTAGCATTTTACATTCAGCTAAATCATGTTTGCATTCACTCGAGGACAGAGATTCCTTTAAAATAAAATAAATAAACTAGGCTGGGATTATTTCTGTGTCACAATGGACATTTCATGAAGTTGAAATCCCCCGGCTTTCAATATTCTTCACTGTTGCCTCATGAAAAATATCCACCTAAACGCAATACATATTCCTTTATCTGCCTATCTGACAGTGTTATTTCGCAGGCCTGTCAATCATAGCTCAGTGAAGTGCTTCTTAGATATCATATCAAGGCCCACCGTGGGAAATATGAGACGTATCACCTATCTCGCACAGGAAATGGGACTGTTTGAAGATTTGCATGGTGGTGTGGTCGTTTCGTAAAGGTCCTCCTGTAGCTATCTCAAAGCTCTAAAAAAAAAACTATGGGGGACAGATTATGGCTCGTGGCAAGGTAGAAGAAAGCCACTCTCATTTATCATTCAGTGCAGCTGAATGTAGTCATCCCTCTTCTTCATTCTATATGTCTTCTACGTATTCACACGCAGGATTTGAATTAAAGTATGCATGTGTTTGTTGAGTGTGTATAAAGAGTATGTACGATATACTGAATGCATACACGGGAAGAGTGAATTGTATTAACAGATTCAAAATAAATTCTTCCTGTCTGTTAGGTTACCTCATTGTTCGTGGCCAGCCGCCGAGCCACGATGAGCTGGATCATCCCTCGCTTGTTGCCCTCGACAGACATGGATGTCCGCAGCGTCTCCATGGCCTCTTGGTTGGTCTTCCCGAGCAATGACTCGGCGTTCACTGCAATTAGCTGGTCATTGACATGTAAACGCCCATCCTGCAGAAAAACACAGGGGAGAGTTAGATCTTTTTGTCTTTAGTTGTTAACATGAACATGTTTTTTTCTGAAGCAGCTCTTGGGATCACACAAACCTTTTAATTCAACAGTGTCCTAAAAGACTCTGGGGCATTTATTAAGAACAATGATGTTTTTTTTATGGTTTCATAACCATATAAAGATGTATGTGTAAAGTGTATGAATTGAATTAATCACCTGATTCAAATCTGATGTAATTTCAAGGGAAAAGTGAAATATGACAGACAAGGGTAGGGCAATAAAATAATATCAATGAATATCACAATACAATTTCCATCAATAGCAATATAACACATGTTTTGCTCAATGCTTATGGTAGCGCAGTGGGGAGGTTTAACATAACTGATCTCCCTCAAATTTGTAAAATGTTTAGCTTTTTGTCATTTCCTGCTAATAAAGATGAGTTTAAAACCACATCCTCAACTCAGAAAAACAAGAAATGAAAGAAATAATTATGATTTTGACATTTATCATAATAATTTTCAATATTGACTGAAATTAAGATTTTATCCTTGTCCATGTCGCCCAGCCCTTTTACAGAGCATTGCTGCTACATGGTAAACATTCACAACATGAGTCTAATGCCACTTATAAACATCATGTGACCACTTAGAATATCACAAAGACACTGACTTCAATATGTTTACATGCAGCATAGTGACCCATCTTTGTACTTACCTGTAGGTCCTTGTCCAAACAAAAACCATGAATGAAATCAATAAAATCCATCAAGGAATGGTCAGATGATAAGTGAGTGGGAGTAAATACTGGCCTTGCTCGCAGCTCCTCCGTTTATAATGGACTTCACAAAGATGCCCAAGTCGGCGTGGTTCTCCTTGGAGCGGTTGCCCTTGACGCTGACACCTAGGCCTGCCGAGCCTGAATCGTTCAGTGGGATCTCAAAGGTCATGAACTCTCTTGAACCGTCAGGGGTTAACACCATGTCGTCTTCTTCTGGCTGCTTAAGGTAGTGAAGACAGAGAGAGAAGTTTCTTTCAGATCTGTTTTTATTCTGTTATCAGTTGGGCTTGAAGAAACAACAACTATTGGATTATTTGTGATTAATTATTCAAGTTACATAGAATCGACACTAAGGTTTTTAGGCAGTGACCATTAAGCTTTATAATCAAAGCAATAGCAAACTGTTGCTGAGCCCCACTGTTGCATTTCAATGCCTCTGAGAAGTATCTAACATTAACTTTGGTGAAGAGACAGAAAAACAAAGAGACAAAAAAAAGAGGAGAGTGGAACAAAAGTTGAAAAAAGAGCAGGGATGGGAAATGACAAGAAAATGGAAAGCAAGCGGGAGACAAGATAAAGAGGCGTAAGATGAGGGGAGCGGGAGAAGAAAGCAAATGGGTGGCAAGCATGTCACATACTGTATCTCAGGGCTGTCATCGTCAATTGGCCATACTGTCTAGCCAAGCGCTGCTAATTCCTCCACCGTCATGAGCTCGGTGTATTAACAGTGGGGACGGCGGAGAACTTTTGAGAACGGCAGAAAGCAATTTGATACTCAAACAACGGTGGCTTCCTTTGAACAACAGCCCTTTGAAGGATCATTTGTGACACGTTAAGAATGTGACCTTCTTTCCCCGTGCAATCCTTTCTGGAAAATCACCATAGTACTTTTGTTGGAGGGGTGTGCTACAGATCCTTTTTTTTGTATTTTTTATTTCAGCTGCCAGAGAGGATGTGAGAGAGAGAGCGTCTAATAGGCAAGGAGATCAACAGAGCTGGAAAATAGTCCATCAAACATCCGCTGCAGTCTCTTCTCAAACTATTTTCACTGGTGTCTAACCGAGAGTGTGTGTAACAAGTAACCAAAAGAACTTTACGTCTCACTTGCAGGGGTGCAGAGGTGTGAGAGAAAGCTAATAGTGTAGGGAAAGCAAGGGGGGAGGTATTTTCTTTCTTTTATAGAAAAAAGGACAAAACCTTGAAGGGACTTTAGGATTTTCAATATTTTCCATTCAAGTGCCTGTCAAAAGATATCTAAGATGGAGCCAAGATACTGTAGGTGTTGTAGTTTTAATGTCCATTATAACAGTTGTTCTATTCAAGTTTAACCAGCAGAACATTACACACTGTTTTTCTCTGTACATCTCAAAGTCTTCCACGCAGTCATATTGGCCTCTGGTAGTAACCACACTGAGAACCACCATAGTTCTCTGGAGTTATGTGCTTTGTTCAAGGGCACACAAGCAGTAGTTGTGTACTGCTCATGCACGCAGAACATACCCCTGCTGTTGTAAACAGGTATGCATACTGGTGTAAAAAGAGGCATTTGGCTGTCGGTTGCAGAAAGAACTCGGGCTACGAATGAGAAGCAGCAATGGCGAAAAGCAACAAATCAGCAAAGGCAATATTGAGACAGATATGAACCAATCAACAAGCCTTGTCTATCACTTCGCTCGTCAAGACTAAAACTCAGCCCGAGAGTTTCAAACTAAAATGTGGCCGGCAGCGTTTCCATGCTTCTCTGTTTAAGCAGAAAACTCTGGAGTAGTGGGGACACCAGGTGTGTCCATAGCAGAATTTAACGTAGTGTTATGGATGAAGCCACACACACCCATTTATAATCAGCACATAAGAGTTAATAACTGTCCAGTCACAGGTTCGCTCGACAGGAAGCCTGAGTGCTCTGCTGTACGACTGTGATTGGCCAGATTGGTTTACTGTACATGAGTATTTATTGCCATGGCAGCCAAATCCACATGACTGGAAATTAACCCCAGGAACCCACCGCAAGAGCTTTAAATAGACTCAAATCAATACATGCGGTTGCACGCACGCACGCACGCACACACACACACACACACACACACACACACACACACACACACACACAACCAGATGGATGGCAGCCAGGTGTGTGCCCTTCACAGCTGCTTGGATAAAGAGTGAAGCCGAGGGAAGAAGGAAAAGATATAGAGTATAAGATGTGTGTTTTTTCTTTTTTGGAGGATGAGGAGTTATTAGGATGCAGTGGTGCGTTCAGGTGGAGGCTCTTTTCAACACCCTCTGACTGAGCCCCTATTCTCCAGACGGACCTTCTATCTGCCCCCTTTTTCTTTTCCTGTTTTTCTTTCAAAACGTTAGTACACCTGTCTGTACAATTTGCCAAGTGGGTTTCTCCCTGAATGGACTATTAGTGAACTCAGACCACTGGAACGCATTTAATTGTGCTGCATTTCAAGAACTGTAGCGGCTTTATTACAGAAATCACTGGCTCTAGTTAGGAAATGACCCATTCCTTTCCCTCAGACAACAAAATGGACCTAGGGGGATAGGAGTCAACTGTTCAAAAACTGATCTTACCCAGTGTCGGGGTAAATATAAAGCATCTTGAACTTCCTATTGCTGTGTAGAACTTGTAATATATGTCAGAATTTATATTTAACTATTGGGTTGTGATAATTTGGTCTCCAACACAGGCCCCCTAGCAACATTACACAAACATACACTGAAAAGAACACTTGTGGATGAATAGCCTCATGCGTCATAGGCAGGAATGGTCTTCCTCTTTAATGAAGATGTTTTTATCAAAATAAAACATAAATATCTGGTTGAGTTAGGTCACCGGAGAGGCTTTTAGCCCTACAGTGGAAGATAGCATACGCCGGATAAAGAAATGTACTTTGGATGGACCCCATTTAAGCCTGTGTGTGCTTGCGTACGTGTGCACACACTCTCTTCTGAAATTATGACAGAATAACCACCCACTCAGAGCTGTGTTCCGGGAGTAGCGGGCCGAGGCAGAGAATGAGAGAGCAGAGTAACATTTCCATCAGACAGGACCGAGCACTTCTAGCTAAGAATGAGTTTGTCAGGCTGCTTGACAGGCCTTGTTGCAGCGATTCAAATCTGGCAGAGCTGGATTCAACTACCGCTGTGCTGGAGGAAAAAAAAGACAGTCAGCTCATTGTTCCACACTCAGTCCCATGCATGCACCTGAGACAGGGGGCTGACAATAGATGAACTGATGTAAAAGGTTGGATGCTTAAATCAGTTTCAAAAACACCAGAAACTGAACAGATCCAAGATTTGGTGTAGGTTTTCCAACATCCATGAGTGTCACCATATTTAGTTCCATTTATGTTTCACAAAATCATTCTTCAGAAGACATTGTATTCTGGTGTCAGCCTTACATGATTCACCCTATTTGACTATTATCAGGCCATTGAAAGGTCGTTACCAGCACTCACCTGTCCCATATATGTGCTACTAGTGGTCCACTAGTAGTAGGCGCAGCAGGTTCAATCATTTCTGGTGAATAAACTGGTGCAGTGCTGTGTTCAGGCAGTGATCATTAAGGTCAAACTTATTACTACCACTTTTGAGTGGAGTGCCTGTAAGAAGCCAAGAACGTCTCCTTTCTGCTCTCTCTGACTCAGCCATGCAGTCACAGTCCATTATGCGATTAAGTCCTTTATTAATTAACACTGCGATGGGGTAGCTCCCATTCATTACAGTCCATTGTCTGGGCAGGGGACAGTGATAGAGGCCGCACTGGAGCAGAGACACAAGCAGGTGAACCAAATAGGGTAGAGAGAAAACATGGCTCGTTACTCTTGCAAAAATATCCCGCCTGCTTAATCTGCCTTTTTGTTTTGTTTCTTCCTCGCTAAACGTGACACGCACCAACAAGGAAGGTGTGTTCAATGTGTTAAAGTGTGTGTCAGAGAAACATCGCAACAGAAAAAGCTGGAGTGAGATACAAGAGGGAGAAAGAGAGAGGGAGCGCAAATGAATCACAATTAGTTCTATTCACACAAAACTCTGAGTTCTCCGCACATCACTGCCTAAAACAATTAACACTGCTGGAAACTTCTTTCCACACTTGGCCCAATTTGGCGACATTAAAGGTCATTGGAAATGAATTTAAAAAGGCTAAAAGAAATCAGCCATGTATGTAATTGCAAAAGGGGCGTACGCATGATAAGTATTGTAACACAAATTTCTTTCGGTGGTGTTTTTTCTCATAACATTTTCTGACAAAGGGATGGAATATTAAACACCTCTATGCCTGAAGCAAAACTCAGGCATTTTCAGGTACAATCAAGGGGTTGAGATGGAAGCTGTCACACAAAGCTGAAGGTCACAGCGCGCAGTGGAGGGTTTGGAGTGTTTGTGAACTAACAACGTGTGTTCTTCAACCCGGCAGATTTTGAGTCAGTGATGACAAACTTGAAGTGAAATCCACTGGGGATGTTCTAATGAGAAAGCTCATGTGGCCCATTAGCAGAGTAATTTCAAGTTTCAATGAGGGCATCTGAGGCTAGATATGTCTGCATCACTGCAGATGTTTTCAGGTTATGGGTGAAGACTCTGAGTGGAGCAACCACAAGGAGGTTCGAATGGCTTGACGCTTCTGTAGGCGATTTAGGAAACAATTACATCCAATCAAAGTGAACATGAAAAACAAAAGGTGACTTTTTAAGTCTACTTGGCAACTGGAAATGTTTGCAAAGGCTTTTCAGTGCATCCAAACTACAGATGCCTCTCATTTCACGCTAATGGCAGATAAAAAGTACTTTGCTATGTCCAACCGCACACGAACACTTCAACCCATTATGCGTTCTGGAATTAGATGCTGTATCCCCTTAGGGAGAGTAACCGTGTCGCCATAAGTGGCCTTTAACTACCTTGTTTATCGGCATAGCACAAGGGCTGCGGTGCGCTCTCCCGTTCTCAGCGGTGACAGCAAGCATAATTATGGGAACAGCTGCTGAAAAGTGCTCGACAACAAACAGGTGGTGGAGAGAAGACGCGCTCGGAAATCGTTAACCGGGCTGGCATTGTCTTCAACCACACTTGGCAGCGTTCACTTTAATCACGACAGAGCATGTTTCTGAACTCTGCACTTTGATCAAAACAAAACATTTTCTCCCGCAGCCAAATTAATAATGTAGGACTTCAACTCATCAGCATCCTTGGAGTGAAAAATAAGATGCAGAG